TGTCAGTAAAGAGACACGACTGTGATGAATAAGAACCAGATTAACAAAAGCTACTTTTAAGGAGCTTTTTATGCCTGACTTGTCTGTGAAAATGGCTTTCGTTGGTGTAACCTATTGTAGTAAGGTTGATTATATTAAATCATTGAATCATTAAATCACAGTGTAGTGAGGTTGGTCTTAAACTGAGAAAACAGGTTCTGTGAGTCTTTAACTTCACTATCATTTATTAGAAACCTGTATTTAAACTCAGTTATCTACAAATATCTAATAAAGTCCTTTTTTAATCTCTGTCATGTTACTTTTTTAAATTTAATTTGTGAATCGGTGGGTTTATACAGCCATTCTGATGTTTCATCCAGTATAACTGATCATCCGCACTCATGGTCATGCTCCAGTAATGATTCATTTCAGTCATGTTCTCTGTTTTCCTGCCCCATTGTGTTTCCATATCAACACTTTCATATCAGTTTTGACAATCATAAGGTAAAGACCAATTGAGGACGGCACAGAAAAGGAGAGATGAGGCGAGTTTTTCTTCATCTCTCATCGTGCACAGTCAGATCACTTTCAGTTTTGTTCTAAACACACCAAAGCCATCAGGAGCCAACAGAATCAGAAATGTTATTTGCCACAGTAATTGATCAATGCAAGCAAACAGCTGGCGAGACTTAGCCACAGTTACAATGTATCACTTCAAATGATGATGTCACAATGCATTCTTCACATCCCGCCTTTAAAAACTGTCAGTCTGTCTGTCAGTTGAATCTATTTAATGGGTTCTGTGATGGTGTTTACATTGTGATTCAAATCATTTGATGGCAAAATTATTATGTGACTTCTCTCAGGACGCTTTCTTGGCATGTCATATTTGATTATATCAGATCATCAGTGTCAGAAATGTTTGCACCAAATTAGTTAAAAGTGTGATCTTGACAGGTTTACTCTAAGCTAATTTGAAGCTCTGGTCTGAAGGTTCTTTTTTTAGTATGAAACAGAAAAAATATGCAAAAATTATACTTTTAGGGTTACAGCAGCTTATCAGTAACCTAAAACAGACAGTTCACCCAAAAATTAAACATACTATAAAGAATGAACAGTTTTGGTTCCTATTGACTTCCATTGATGAAAAATACAATGGACGTCAGTGGGAACTGAAACGGTTTGGTTTATGTCCCACTGAAGAAAGTCATATAGGTTTGGAATGATGAGTTAAGGATGACAGAATTTTCATTTTTGGGCAGACTATCACTTTAAATGGACATCTTTGTACCTCATTTATCACCAAAAGGTACCTTAAGGGTACATATTACTACTATAAGGTACTATTATGCAATTTTTAGCAGTAGATAAGGAACAAAGTTGTTCCTTTAAGGGTACTGCCCCAGTGACAAGGCTATCAGTTCATGCATGCATATTTACAGACAAATATCTATATAGTTTTGCCAGTGAAAAACTATTTGAAGGAATTGACAGGATTTTACCTTTTAGTTTGATTAACACAATACATTTCCTAGGTCTTTAAATTAAAGATTTACTGATTTTGTATACAGGAAAATAGCTCTTGCTGACACAAAATACACACACAAACTCAAGAATGAGCAATTAGGACCCTTGACATTATCTATGGTTGTTTCTGAATGGCAAATACGGGATGCACATGTTTGTGTACAATAGTGGCATTCACATTCATGGACTGATTTGTGACGTCAGAGAACATGCATCTTCTGGGTAAGGTCTTCCATTAGATTCCAGATGCATCAGGTCATACATTTTGTATAAACCTGACTCTGTGTGCTCCACAAGGTTACTGTGCTAACCAGGTGAATGGTTGAATAATGGCCTGACAATCCAGAGATGTGGATCTGTGGCAGATCCAGCACTGCTGAATAATGCAAGGAGCAAACAATCAGCGCACACACATGAACACGCGCGCATACACACACAAACTTCTCTCAATGAAGGACCACATTGTATCAGGTATTTAAAAGATCAGCTGTAATTTGTGTTAATTACAGTAAATATCAGTTTTATCCTGATGTTGATACTTGGACTGTTTTCACTTGGATACTTGGACACCTTTTAAACTGATGATACTGTTGAATGTTAATTTTTTTTACCTTTCTGAAATCACATCACATATAGAGAGCAAGTGAATGGATTTTAATGCCATTTTATTGTATGTGTTTATATGTATATTAACCATATACATCAAAAGGCTAATTTCTGTGGGAGGTTAAAGATGAAAGATAAAAGTAGTCTTAGCTCTGTTAAAAGAATAGTTCCACCAAAATTGATCATTTGCTTAAACTGTACTCACCCGAAGGCCATCCGAGATGTAGATGAACTTATTGCTTCATCAAAGCAGATTTGGAGAAATGTATCATTACAGCACTTGCTCACCAATGGATCCTCTGCAGTGAATGGGTGCCATCAGAATGAGAGTCCAAACTGCTGATAAAATCATCACAATAATCCACAAGTAATCAATTAATGTCTTGTGAAGTTAAAAGCTGTGTGTTTGTAATAATCAAATCCAGTTCATGATCCATAATAATGCTACCTCCAGTGAAAAAGTCCATCCCCTGTTGTCTTTTCACATCAAAATCCACCAACATATTTGTTTAGAACTGTTGTGGACTGTTTTTGTTTATAAACAGTGCTTGACCTGTGCATATTTCTCCCCTGATTCTGACAAGATGTCTTTTTCACTGGAGGAAGCAATATTAAATAAAAACACCCTAATAAGGGATTTGTTTCTTACAAATAGCTTTTCGCTTCACAAGATGTTAATTGAAGTCATGAGGATTACTTGTCGGTTATTATGATGATTTTATCAGCGGTTTGGACTCTTATTCTGACGGCACCCATTCACTGCAGATGATCCATTGGTAAGCAAATAATGTAATGCTATTTTTCTCCAAATTGGTTCTTATGAAGAAACAAACTCAAACTCATCTGGCCTAAGGGTATGTAAATTGTCTGCAAATTTTCATTAATTATTAAAGGTGACAGAACTGAAAAAAATTGAACTCTTGACTAAGTGTAGATACATTCATTATACACTAGTGGTATAGATGTCTTGAAGATCTGGTATGGATGAGCCACTTATGTTCACACTTAAATAAATACATATACCTTTCCTTTAATGGCTCCCTCTCTGCCGTTTTCACAAGAATGTGAGCTTTGGCATGAGTAGAGCGGAGCTTTAATTACGAGCTGTTGAGAAGATGAGTGACTCCTTCAGAGGAGAGAAATGAGACACAGTGAGGTGGTGAAAATGTCAGACATCTGACCGCACCTAATCAGAATGTAAGACATTGTCGAGAAGCTGTCTTCATCCTGTCATGGTCTGCTCAGGACGTTATGGGAAAAACACCCAGAGTGAAATAATGAGAATGAATTAGGAGAATTCTTAGAATACTTAGAAATGAACTGTGAGATAAAAAAATTACCTATAATTTTTGCACCATATTTCTGTTTTGGTGTAATTATTAGCTATGCTTGATCCTTCAGTTCATATTTGCCAGGTAATTATTTTAAAAGAGATTTAAAATAATAAACGGACAAAAGGCAAGACTACATTTAATAAAAGAATTACACAGTCAATGTAAGAGATAAAAGATTCAGAGAAAGTTTAAAATATAAGATGCATTCTGTTTCTTTTGACATCACATTTAAACATCTAAGCTTGTGATGTTGCATAATAACTCTTCTGTCATTTTTTCACATCACTTTTTACAGTTCTAAACATTCTCTCCATTCAAGATGCCAAAATACTCACATACTGCATCCCTACTCGGAAAAAACAAACAGTGTTGTCAAACACAGAACATTTCACACTTTTTGAGTAAACTTTGGCATACAAAGGTCAGAACAAGGCATTGTTGGATGAAAATTGATCAATTTTTATTCTAAAGAGCTTTGACAGATGAGATATAGGTCATAGACATACAGCAGATATTCAATGAATAACAACATATCTGATGACATCTTCATCAGCACTGTGAAATGTAGGTCACAAAGCAATGACTGTTTTATATATATATATATATATATATATATATATAAATATATACATGTTGAATATATTGGTGAACAGCCGTTGCCAATTAGAGGTGTGTAACCTTCCTGACATCAGTGGAATTGACTGCCCACTCAAAGAGGTGATTCATAAAACCTTTCATCAAAAACCCTTTCATTAATGCTCATGTTTTTATTGCACACATTTACTGTTGTCGATTCTAGCTATTGTACTCACTATTGTTAGAGGTTCACAGAACTTTTGATACAACAATAAACAGAGAAAATGCTAAGACTGACTTTTAGAATGAAAGACATGCTTATGGAGTCATGCATTTTTTAAAATAGTGAGAATGGAATATAAAGACAGGTAATTTGGGACCCATTTTGGGCATCTTAATAATGTCACAAGGTTGCCCAGTTTACGTAAATTCACTCTACACTCTTAAAATGGTCTTAAAAATGGCAATTTATAGTGAAAAAATTTTATCGAGATGATAAAAACGTTTATTTTAAGAATTGTTCACTGAAAGTTTTTTCAAGGAACCTAAAACAGTTCTTCTATGTTATTCTTGCAAAAAGAAAAAGAAAAACTCTTTGTGTTATTTGTTATTTTTAATTTAAGAGTCATGTCAAACAATCAAACAATTGCATAAATAAATTATACAAATTTTCAGCGGATTTAAATTGCACGGATGTCAAAGCGATATCATCTTTGGTTCAAACTGACTCCCAGCTGGTTCTTAAAAAAGCAGCCAACTGAATACGGGTGTAGTGACGTTACGTGAATACATCAGGTAGCAGGAACATTGTATAAATAGAGAAAGTTTCCCAGCAACCCAGTGAAGCAATAGAAAGCGGCAACAAGAGCCGAGAAAAACTTTCAACGCTGGTATCACTAGAACAGAAAATAGTAATAAAAAGGATTTTGCATATTAAATTCTCAGCTTTACCTTACTAACGCCAAAGCATTCAGCACCATGGACAGCGTCCGCGCGGCGGTTTACCTGAGCGTTTTCCTCTCGCTACTGTGCGTCTGCAGGGGTCAGATGTCACTGGACAACCGAGTGACCGCACAAGACGAGCAGTTCATCAAAAGAGACCTGGTAAGAGATTAATTGAGAGTGTCATATGGCATAGCTCAACAAATACATTTTCAACCTGTTGATGAAAAAAAAAGTTTCAGCAACATCAGAAAAACAGTATGTGACGAGCAAAAATAAATAAATAAATAAAACATCAGGACTGAGTTCACGTGAATGGGTTCAGGCATTTTAAGTGAAGCTATATGTTCGTCACTATGAAAGTCGCGTGAAATTTGATGCAACTATGATTTTCACAATATCAACGATTTACTTATCAGACTATCTCAGAAACGTATCTTTAAATAATTATTTTTCTAATCTATATATCTTCGGACTTGCTTTCTCGCCGTTTGTGTTTAGGCTGAGGCGCTCGATGAACTTTTGGATGGAGATCAGGACAATCGGATATCTGTGGAGAAAAAAGCTAGCGTCATTCCCAGGGTAAAGACATTCCTCCTATTTTTCCCTTTGAAATAGCGTTTATCATCAAGTAAAAGAGGTTGACTAGAAAAATATCTAATGCGATGCACCATGTTTCTTAGTGTGATGTGGGGGAGCGCTGCGCATTGAAGCACGGACCGCGCATCGGGCGACTGTGTGATTGTATGCGAGGAACAGCCTGCAATACTTTCTTCTTGCGCTGCTACTGATGGAGCTCTCTCAGGCACTGTGTTTAGAAACTCGTGACAGAAATGCTTGGGACACCTCATCTATTTAACGGTTTAATTCTATGCGTGAAATTACATGGGTGATGTATTGATACTGCTCTATTGTTCGTAACCTGTAGCCTACTACATAACTTAGGCTACACTACATGTTTAAATGATTAAACGTGTTTATTTTAAGTTAATGAAATGTATTTAAAACTCATTCGTTCTGAATATTCTCTAAATGAAAAGTATGTATACATTGTCTGTGCGTTTATAATTTAACTAAAACCGTATAACTGTTAGAACAAGATCTGAACTGAGGCGTATTATTACAGGCATAATGGGTGCGATCAATGATGATGAACAGAACAAGTGTCATGATCAACAACTAAAATACCGATTTGAATAATCATTAATCATTGGATTCTATAGAGTCTTATAATTAAGGCTTTCAGTGGTTTAACTGTCAGTAAATGGTGCGCGATCTGTTGAGGTTCTTCTCGCGCATCCAAAATTCATCTTAAGTTTTAAAATCGACAGAGTTTTGTGATTATATTTGTTATAATGCAGTGACAATGCTATTTTTTTTATGTTTTACAGTCCGATACCGATCGGAAAGCGCTCGAGCAGCGTACAGTTGCTATGGTTACTTAGCGAGCGTCTGTTTAACTTGTAAGATAACTTTTGTGGTTATACTGAAACGTAGCTATATGTAAAAATTATTGATACTTTAATTATATATGTATATTTTAACAAAGATATACATTTTGTCAGAAACGCTTTACAATAAGAAGAACTACATTAGCCTACATAATGCAAGCAGATCCCTGGTTGAAAAGCCCGGTTCTAGATCCAGACTCATTCTGCTTCTTAAATCCTCTTTTGAACGAGGCTTTTGAAACAAAGAGGATTAGGCTACTGCGAGATCTGTCCACGGGTTATAATGTGGCCATCAATCACCATTACATAAATTCAAGTAAATGTCGCAAAGGGAAGGGAAATCTACATATAATGGCCTTGATAAATCCTGGAAAATCTCATCATCCCGCTCTTCAGTCGATCAGCAGGGGTGATCAATCACCTCATGTGACGCAGAAGCAGGTACCTATTAAGTTCCACAAGTCTTTGCGTGAAAACTCGTGCCGGACCCCTCGCTACTAGAAGCACTCCTACGTGACTATAATACAAATATAATGTCAAATTTATCTATACTTCTCGTAGCGCTTCACTGTGCTGTATACATTTATTCTAAAATCAGTGGCGTGGATTCAAGACCGCCAGACTACGAGCCGTCCAGACCGTTCACTGACGACGCGACAGAAGCGGTGAGTTGAAATATTGCGCGAGTGCATTTTATTCTACAGATCGTTGGATAATCGGAAAACTTACTGTTTATTACAGACAAGAGCTGTGACAGAATATAAAGAAAACCTTCAAAGACAGCTCGTGCCCATTTTGAAGAGAAAGTTCAACCGTCTTCCAGGCGTATGCAGACGTCTGAAAAGGAGGAGGATAACAGTTCTGGTACTTCATTTTTGCTTATTATTAGTCTGTATACTGGTACAAACACGACTGTCGTGTATAATCTGCATGAAAGTCATAGCCTATAACTCAAGCAAAATTTTGGAATTAAAGGGATAGGCCTAGTTCACTCAAAAAATAATAACTTGTGTCATCACCCTCTGTTTCAAACGTGTATGAGATTCTTTGTTCTGTTCAACAGAGAAAAAAAAAGATATTTTGAACAATGTTTGTATCCACAGTTGCTTGCAGCCACTTACTTCCATAGTATGGAAAAATACTTAGGATGTCAACCTGCAACTGTTTGGTTAGAGTTTTGTGATTATATTTGTTATAATGCAGTGACAATGCTATTTTTTTTTATGTTTTACAGTCCGATACCGATCGGAAAGCGCTCGAGCAGCGTACAGTTGCTATGGTTACTTAGCGAGCGTCTGTTTAACTTGTAAGATAACTTTTGTGGTTATACTGAAACGTAGCTATATGTAAAAATTATTGATACTTTAATTATATATGTATATTTTAACAAAGATATACATTTTGTCAGAAACGCTTTACAATAAGAAGAACTACATTAGCCTACATAATGCAAGCAGATCCCTGGTTGAAAAGCCCGGTTCTAGATCCAGACTCATTCTGCTTCTTAAATCCTCTTTTGAACGAGGCTTTTGAAACAAAGAGGATTAGGCTACTGCGAGATCTGTCCACGGGTTATAATGTGGCCATCAATCACCATTACATAAATTCAAGTAAATGTCGCAAAGGGAAGGGAAATCTACATATAATGGCCTTGATAAATCCTGGAAAATCTCATCATCCCGCTCTTCAGTCGATCAGCAGGGGTGATCAATCACCTCATGTGACGCAGAAGCAGGTACCTATTAAGTTCCACAAGTCTTTGCGTGAAAACTCGTGCCGGACCCCTCGCTACTAGAAGCACTCCTACGTGACTATAATACAAATATAATGTCAAATTTATCTATACTTCTCGTAGCGCTTCACTGTGCTGTATACATTTATTCTAAACTCAGTGGCGTGGATTCAAGACCGCCAGACTACGAGCCGTCCAGACCGTTCACTGACGACGCGACAGAAGCGGTGAGTTGAAATATTGCGCGAGTGCATTTTATTCTACAGATCGTTGGATAATCGGAAAACTTACTGTTTATTACAGACAAGAGCTGTGACAGAATATAAAGAAAACCTTCAAAGACAGCTCGTGCCCATTTTGAAGAGAAAGTTCAACCGTCTTCCAGGCGTATGCAGACGTCTGAAAAGGAGGAGGATAACAGTTCTGGTACTTCATTTTTGCTTATTATTAGTCTGTATACTGGTACAAACACGACTGTCGTGTATAATCTGCATGAAAGTCATAGCCTATAACTCAAGCAAAATGTTGGAATTAAAGGGATAGGCCTAGTTCACTCAAAAAATAATAACTTGTGTCATCACCCTCTGTTTCAAACGTGTATGAGATTCTTTGTTCTGTTCAACAGAGAAAAAAAAAGATATTTTGAACAATGTTTGTATCCACAGTTGCTTGCAGCCACTTACTTCCATAGTATGGAAAAATACTTAGGATGTCAACCTGCAACTGTTTGGTTAGCAACATTCTTTAAAATACCATCTTTTGTATTCAACAGAAGAAATTAATTCATACAGCTTTGGAACTTGAATACAAAACATTTTCATTTCTGGGTGAACTTTTCCTTTAAAAAGGTAGACTACAAAAAATAAATAAATAAATAAATAAATAAAAAATGGCTTGTAGTAGAGGTTGAACACTTTGACTGCAAATTCTTTACTTTAAGTGCTTAAACTTTTTTTTTTTTTAAATCTAATTATACAATTCCAAGTCCCTATAGGGTTTTGCAGGGTAGGAAACTGGGTTCAAGTCAATCTGTAAACTTGAGCAAAAACATGAGGTGTGCAGTTGATAAGTATTTCTTACCATTTGTCCTTTTCTTCCTCTCCACAGTGTAACACAGCAAAGATATGTTCTGCTATGACATATTCTCAGCATGGCCACATCTGCTCCTGCTCAAAAGGATCAAAGTGCACTCATTTCTTTTTATGGAGTTTGTGACCTCTCTTTTTTTACTTTCATCACACAATACATAATATTCCATCATAATAGAATCATGTGACAATAGAAAAACTAAGGCAGACAATTTCTTTTTCCAATTTATTCCTTAGTTCATTATCATAAGAGGACAGGAAATGTCACTTATCTTTCATAAAAATACACCTTTTACATTTCAGGTAGATCATTAAAATCAGCTATGGGACTAAGCTTGATCAAATTCACATGGCTTCCTTCTTAACCATTATTCTGTCAAACCAATCATAATGTAAATAAATGTGTGGGGAAAAGTTAGAAATGTACCTCTGTACCCAAAACCAGGAGAGTAAAGTCTTTCTGAAGATGATAGCACAAAGTATCACTATCACCTTCAATAAATGAGAAGCATATGCAATATTGAATTTTGCTGTGAAGTGCTTAAAAAATGTAATAAAATAAAAATGTAAAAAAAAATGTACAACACATCTTATCCTCTTCATTTCAAGTCAAGCAGCTTTAACATACACTACAATGCAGTCTTGCATATATCAGTACTCATATGAGTACAGAGCTGGTATTTTTGAGACTGACATTATGAACAAAGACGTTTGTTCAATATAAAATATTCCTTTTCACTCATGAGGGCAAAGACTGAAAGTAAATTCACACCATGAATGAAAAAAAATAAAAAAAATAAAACTTTAATAAAGGGCTCCTATAAGTCTCTAAAGAATGTGCCAAAAACACTAAAAAAGTATATAAGCCTACTGAAAATAAGGATTTAACAAACAGCAACTGCACATAAAAGATTAATTAAATTACCATTAAAGGGGTCATGAACTGAGAAATCAAATTTCCCTTGATCTTTTGACATAGAACAGGTCAATGGTACTATAAAAATCATCCTGTAAGTTTCAAAACTCGAAACTTTCTCGTTAGTTTAAAAACCAAAGGTTTTTAGCCAAAGTTATTGAAACCAAACCCAGAAAACGACTCATTTTGGAATGTGCCACTTTATGACGTAATAGTGTGTCTAAGCACCGCCTCCGCAGAAGATCAACGCCTGCTTCTACATCACTGCCTCTTTAGCCCCACCCACTGATACACGCTTGTATGAGGAGAGGAAATACTAGACAGATGCAAACACAGAATTACTCCAACAGTACCATACATATGACATTACAAGTTTACAAGACACTGTGTAATGTAAGTTGTGAAAAATATTATTTGAATTGCCTTCCTTGTGATCCTAACACCGTATCTAGATCGGACGTGAGCGTTGTTGCGTCATGTCGCGAATCAATTTCTCTTTCAGGTCAGAAGCGGCGCGAATGTTTGTATGTCAGAAATAGAGCGGGACATCAGTTTACTGTCAGGGGTTTGTTGCGTCAATCCGTGCCGTGCCGCATCCAGTGTA